GGAGCACTTGGGCAACGTTAACTAGCTGTTGGGCGTAGAACCTTCCATCACCGATGACGACGACCCTACCCTGACGAGGGCGACGATGATTCCTGTTGGTCTTCGTCTTCGTCGTCGGAGGAGGAGGATAGGTCGAGCAGTCCCTGCATAATCTCCAGACTGCGGCCGTTCACCATCTCGGTGAGGGTCTGCGCACAGCGCCGATCCTGCATCATCCGTTCAATATTCTTGTGGAGGGCGAATGGATCGCCCAATAGACCATTCCGCAGCTCCTTAATGCAGCGACGTTTGCGACGCAGGCCATGCTCATCGGTGTGCTCCTCCAGCAGCAGATTCACGGCACGCTCCACGTTGTTCCCAGCCTCGCTGAGGCGGCTTCGGGCCAGGCCCTCCGGATAGCCCATGGCCATAATCACTTTCACGCGGCGCTCCGTTTCCTTTTGGTCAATAGCAGAAACATTTTTTGCTTTTTCTGTTGATTCTGCTGACACTAATTGCGGCGCTTTTGACATCTCGTTTGCTCTGACTTCGCTTTCGTTTATGCTTTTAGCAATGCTTCGATAGACTGGATAGGGGTGAGAGAAGATATTCACAAGAAAGAAGTTTATGCTGTGCCCTCTCTCGCATTCCTTATTATTTCGACATTCTTTGTTGTTTTTTCTAAGCCATCGAAACCGCTCTCCCAAAATGTGAAGTTAAGACGCAGTTTGTATACCCTCACAGACAGTATACCAGTTCGGGCACACATTTACGTATTTGCAATGCAGAGGTAAAAGCAAATTCAGCTACAAAATGTACATGGTTAAGCCATTTCCCATGTACCTAAGGATGTGCCATATCCATTTTTTCCTATGTTCTAAAGGCCAGGCGTATAAATCACTCATAAATATTAGATCGCCGAAAGCAAAGGGTATACGAAAACCGACGCTACTCTACAGCTGATCTTCGACAGCAACAGCTTTGCTCTGCTTGCCGCTCTCTAGGTACTTCTGCTCTCAGAGCATTCTCTCTCACTCTAGTTTCCTTATTAGCTTCTTGTTCTGTTTTGACTGCCGCTCTCTTGTGTCCATAAACAGTTATGTCATTCTGCTGTCGATATATGTATGTACATATGTTGGCACGTAAATGTGTATGTATTTATGTGTTTGAAAGGAAACGAAAATATAATCTTGTGTGTGCGATTGTTTTGGCTGCTTTTGGGGAAAAGCAATAAGTTAACAACAATTATACACATACACACCAACAAACACACAAACACAAAGAAAAGGCTGAGGGTCCCACAGCTGCTGCTGTTTCCCCTCTGCCACTGACTTTGACTTCTATGTATTTATGCGTTGCACAATTTTAAATAATCACCCCGCTGGGAAATTTCAAGCAAAATACCCTTTCGTTCGCTCGCTCCATCTCTCTCTCGCACTCCCTGTGTGTTTATGTGTTATTTACACTGATTTATTGCCATTTTCTTTTGGTTTGTTCTGTTTTTGGTCACTCTTCTTCTTTGACCCCTGGGAAAGGGTTACGACGAACAAGTGGCCCGTAAAAAACACTGCCAAACCCTCATCTATCACAATTTCTGGGCCCGTTCTGCTCACAGTTTTGGGTTAAAAACGCATTATTGTGCTTTTCTGGTAATTGAAGTTTTTAGTTTTCATTAGCCGGACAGGGGACAAGGGATACGACGTCGACGACGACGACGACGACGACGACGACGACGACGACGACAAGGGACGACATGATGAAGATTGCAACAAAGAGATGCTGGGAATGAATGTTAGGGAGAAATAAGAGAGAAAAGTAAAATAAATTACACATTTAAATTAACCCATTAACGACGGTCGGAAAATGAGTGGCGCACCACGGCCATCCAACGAATGCGGTGTCTACGAGCGAAGGAGATTCGGATTCCCCTTTCCATGAGGAGAGGGTGGGGCCAATACATAATATCGGATTAACGTTACAGTCAGTCACCACTTTTGTGCAATTGTTTGCAGGCGCTGCAGCGGCAATTTTAAAGCGGAAATTGAAAAGTTTTTCCCAGCGATTCCTTCCAGAACAGAACCTTTTTGAAATATGTGCGAAACGTGCACAGTTCGCGCCGATACTTATCAGGAGTTTCGGTGTCGAAGTCAGAGCCCAGCCAGCTTTGCCGATTGTTCGATTTTACAACAAATGGCAAAATCACTTAACACACCGTTAACACCCACATTAGTTGTACTTGGCCGCACACACACACACACACATATATATATATATACATGCACACGCATAGAAGCAGCAGCCAAGAGCACGTGACAATAAAAGGACGGGAGTGGGAGTGGGACAAGCAGAGTTCCACTTACAGTTAGAGTTTCAATTACTTTAGCCACCACCAATACCCCGCACAGAAAAAAAAACGTCCTCTCATAATCGAATTAAATGAGAGAGTGGCAGCGGGAGAGAGCGAGAGCGCTATTCAGTCATTAAAAACGCAGGCAGCACGATTGCACGCAAATTTGCTGGTACCACCGCCGATTCCCTTCTCTTCCCTGCTGTTGCTGGTCACACACATGCAAGGGAAACTATGAATGAATGAAATTGGCAAACGCACGTGTCGCTCTGGTCACCCGAGATAAGCAACTGCTGCCGCGTGGCCCTCGCTCTAGATCTCTCCCTCTCCCTGCATCGAGCGAGAGATACCATCGATGCACGGATGATGGACTACAATGCGAATGAGAGAGAGAGAGAGTGAGTGGGTGCGTTGCGTATTTATGACTTTGAATCCGATTTCCAGATCCATTGCCAGCCAACGATAATCGTTATTAATATTATTAGTGTTTGTTCGCTGCAGCCACACCCTTACCCGCAGAGAGGGTACACTGACTGTGACACAAGCGAGTGGCTGCGCGGACAGGACACTGAATCCCTTGAAGGACTCTAACTGGGGGAGTATTCCAATGAATATATGAAATAGTTTGAAACTCCCATCACAGAAAGTGTATCCCCCTCTTCGGTGTTGAATGTTCCCCCATTTGAGGTCCGTAATTTTTTCTTTCCAAGGCGATGAACTGCGAATCGGAAAATTGAAGCTTAGCGCGAGAGAAAAATGGCAGATAGATGGCCATCTCCGTAGATGGCAGCACTCCCAAAAGGGATTTGGACATATTAGGACGAAAAGCCCTAAATCGGATCCGTACTGGCCCCCCTATCCACAACCACAAGGGAGCTCTTTACTTTTTTCTAACCAGAAATCCACCTCAAATTGACCCTGGTCCCCTCACCTACGCAAAAGGGCAGGCCCTACCCCCTTACCCTACAGCTACCACCTACCCCATGGTTTGCGGCCACACAATTTGACTCTGCGATCTGAGTGCACTGGAAGATGGAATAATGAAATGGAAACCGAGCTTAGCAAATCACAAATTTATGAGGCAATCCATCAATGCCAGGCCGAACAGTTTTCAGGGGACAACGAGCGGCGGCGCACCATTCTAATCGCTTCCCACGATCGGCAGAGGCAGAGCTACTGCAGGGAGCATTTCCATATGTAAAATTGCGCCTTCATTAATCCGTAAATTAGAACCATCGAATGATAGCTGCGTCGCTTCCCCCTGTAGAGTTCACCGCTGGCTGGAGTGCACTGCACCCCCTGTGCAGTACCCTGAAACAAATCACTGCAAACACACACACACACACACACACACACACAGAAGATGCACGCACATGAATGCCATATGAAGGGCAAAACCCAAACCCACCGAAATTCCCACCACCACGCGTGTGCACAGTGGGCAGGCGGTGGCCAAGCGAGCAGCGAACATTGAACCGAAATTAGAAACCACAAAAAATCCCCACTGCCGATTTGTTTATCTACTTCTGGATAATAAATACAAATGATTTTAGTGTATTTTCATCAATCGTAGCTTACATTTCGGCGAGTGACGGTACGAAACTTTCTGTGCCATTCCCACCCACTGTGCAACCCGTCATCAGCTTCGGCCTGGCACTGACATGTCAGCAGGCGAAAGAGAGAAGAGAGTGAGAGAGCAGCAGGAACAACAGTAAATGGTTGGACAATCGTTGAAACGAAATGACATTTTATATTAAAACTGTATTAGCCAGACAGACACTGCGAGCGAGTGAGCGAGAGCGACACTGGGCAAGAGACGTGAACGTTTCGGCGTTGCGGCGGCGGCGCCTGTCAAAATCAGTAGCGCGTTAGGACATTTGAATGAGAAGAGGAGGAACGACCCGACCGACCGACCGACGGCACCTTGCCATCAAATTGTACGCAGTGAGGCATGAAAAATGCGCCTGTCGGAGCAGAGACAGAGGGAGAGAGAGAGAGAGAGAGCGGGACATCAGAACTCAATTCGAGCGTGAACGGGGGGAGCGATGGGCAGCCGCGACAGCATTTGACATAATCAAATTACCTAATGGCCAGGCGGACGGGATGCAGATCAGCATGGGCTTTGGCTTTGGCTTTGCCTTTGGCTTTCTTTTTTTCTCCTTCTGTGAGACAACCAAAGAGGCCTTGCCATTCCCATTCACGAATTCCATTCCAAATCGTCACACAAATAAGAGGCTTACGCACGAAGAACAACGCTGAGAGAACTCAATTTCTAGTCGACAAAGTAATATTTTTTTTTTTAAATTAGTCTGTTAAATCGCGAAATAATTTCCAGAATTTCAAGCGCAGCTGCCCCATATGCCCGGACCTGGCCACAACCTTCGATGAGCGCCTGGCCATGGTTCTGGATCGTTGGGCGTACGACCTCTTCAAGGTGTTCTTTGCCAGGAAGTGGCCAGAGAAGAGAGAAACAGTTGGCAGAGCTGGTGGCACCACCCGTCGACTCAACCGAGTCCTTCGCGCATAACAGACGCCAAAAGGCAACGTCTGCCTTCCACGCACTAATCTCCGAGATGGCCAAGCAGCAAGCGAACCCCTCGCCCATCTACGTGATAACCAAAAGCGTACGTTGATCCTGTCTAAATAGAGTATAAAGAGAACTGTCGAAACTCACCTTGAAATCGGGCGGAGTGGTCGTGGAGGAGGCTGTGCCTGTGGTTGTGGGTGTGACCCCTGCGGCGGGATTCAGCTCGATGTTTATGTTATTGGGCTCCATGATGAGTCCGAGGCTCTGGAGATTGCACACCTGCGGCATTTGCATGGTGGGCGTCGGTACCTTGAGCACGGCGACAGTGCAGTCGATGCTCGAGGCTGTCACCGTTGCCGTTGCGGGCAGCGTCTCCGGCATTCTGTTTTCCCGCCTATTCTCTGTATGTCTCTTGTTGTTGCTGCTCCACCTCCTGCTGCTGGCCTCGACAGTTGAGCTGCAAAATGGAAACATTGATTTAAACACACGACAAGCAGTGCATCAAAAAGGTCACACGACAAGCAGTGCACCAAGGTGAATTTACACAGAAGATTCCGTTGTGCGCTGTGTATTCACCACGCAGCAAGCACTTACAGCTAGAAAGGGATGGAGATACTTCACCATGGTGAAGTAAGTTCCAATTGGAGAGAACTCCACACAGAAAGATCTAAAACACAGTTTGGTTTCTCCGTTATTCTCGTTTAAATGCAAATTGCTAATTTGCAATTTTATTTTTAGCTTTCAGTTTTGGTATAAGTTCAAAGGTCCAAAGTAATTCCTACGATTACTTATAATAGTAGCACAAGAGGCACCTCTGGGCCCAAAAATACAAAACGTACAAATACAAAAAAAAAAAAGGGGAAAGGGGGAGGAAAGGAAGGGTATTACTGGCTGAATTCGGTTTATAAATTAAAGGATAGGCGGCAGACACCATCAGTGCGGTTTTGTATCCAGTATCCAGTATCCAGTATCCATGTGGCTTAGGCCTGCTGACGTCTTTTTATCTCTGCGGGCAAATCCTCCAGCTTGACGCTCGTCTCCTGCCGCGTGGTCACCTCACGCAGCTTGACGAGTCCCTGGGCCAGCTCCGCATCGCCCAGGACAACAACCAGTGGAATCTGGTGCTCCTCGCAGTGCTGCAGCTGGGCCAACAGCTTCGGATTCAGCTTGTACGAGTGCTCCGCCTGCAGAAGAACAGATTGAATATTCGATTACAGGGAGATCCCTTTGGGTACAATGCTTCAGCGCACCTTGATGCCTGCATCCCAGAGCTGGTTGAGCACCCGCAGCCGCTGCTCGTGTAGACCCTTGTGGGCGGAGGCCACGTACGCCTCCACGTCGTTGGTGCGCAGCTTCACTTTGCTGGCCGCAAAGCGGGCCTCCAGCACCGAGAAGATGCGCTCCACACCAATGGATACGCCCACGCAGGGCACGGCCTTGCCGCGGGGATCAAACATCCCCACCAGATTGTCGTAGCGTCCGCCACCGGCCACAGATCCGATGGTGGCCTGCTCCGCGGGCTCCCCGTTCTGCTGGGCCGATTTAGCCGGCGAGCTGCTGCTGCCGGACTCCGCCTTGAGCACACCCTCGTAGATGACGCCCGTGTAGTAGTCGAGGCCGCGCGCCAGACTCAGATCGAAGCTCACGCGCTTGTCCAGGCCGAAGATGGAGCAGTACTTGAGCAGCAGCTGCATTCCCTCCAGACCCTTGACAGCATTGGACACTGCCTTGAGCTTGGGATCCGCCAGCAGCTGCTCCACCAGTTCCGTGCCGCCGCTGAGGCGCACATACTCGCCAATCCGGTCGGCTGTGGCCTCGTCCAGGCCCTTCTCCGTCACCATCTCCTTGCGCACATCCGCCCAGGGGGACTGGAAAGAGAATCGATCTCGATTAGGGCATATCCACTAAGCAGAGGCCTGTGTCCCAGCTCCTACCTTGTCCAGCTTGTCCACTGCCGAGCAGATGGTGCGGAAGCTCTCAGCCGGCACGCCGCAAGCCTCGAACATGCCGTCCAGCAGCTGGCGATGGTTCAGCTTTATCACATAGTCGCCAATCTCGAGGGTGTCCAGTATCTCGGACACGATCTTCACGCACTCCGCATCGGCCAGCATGGGGTCGTAGGTGCCGGCGATGTCAAAGTCGCACTGATAGAACTCCCGGTAGCGGCCGCGGGTCATGGCCGGATTGTCCCGCCGATACACCTTGGCGATGTGGTAGCGCTTGATGCTCGATATCTTGTTCATGGCCAGGTAGCGGGCCAGCGGCACTGTGAGATCGTACCGCATGGACAGAATCTCGCCGCCCTGATCCTTCAGATCATAAATCAGCTTCGAGTCCTCGCCGTACTTTCCAGTCAGCACTTCCTGTGAGGGTAGAGGGGGGGATGAATCTTTAGTAGGCTTTGGTCTGGTATGTGGGAGGGTGCTGAACTCACCTTTAGCTCAAAGACGGGCGTGTCGATGGCCTCGCCACCGTGGCGCTTAAACACCTGCACAATCTTGTCGAGAACGCCCTGACGCAGCGTCATCTGCTGTGGTCCATAGTCCCGGGTGCCCTTGGGCGTCTTCAGGGTGAACTTTTGGCTAGCGGGTGCCACATCACCACCTAGTTTGGCCTTGAGGGCCAGCAGGCGGGCGACTTCCTCATCGATCTGCAAGTAAGAAGCGGTATATGGCGCTGCAATACTTGTGTCAGTGTTGGTAAGCGGTACTTAGATGCTAACCTTATTGATCTGTGCTTGTTGTTGTTGTTGTTGTTCTTGTATTTCTTGTTGCTGTTGTGGCTCATGCTGATTTTGTTGTTGTTGCTGTTTATCAATTTTAAATTTCTTCTGCTGTGGCGGCTGCTGCTGCTGCTGCTGCTCTCCCAGCAATATCGTTGATCTCGCGCGTACACCGCCTGGCGGCGCCAGCTGGTACATTGTTGCACACTGAAACGCAGCACTACAGCGCCACTGGCGGCCAATTGAACGCAACATATGTTTTTGTTTTTGCTTTACTCTTAAACTGTTCGTTTTTTTCTTTGCCTTTCTTTCTAATCTCTTATTTTTCGTTTTACTGCTCAATAATTGGCAACAACTTTCTTTCGCAATGTGCCTTTTCAAACCTAATTAAACAACAACAACAATAAATGAAACTTGTTAAGGTTCGAACCTCTCTCTCTCTCGCTCTTTCGCCTTGCGGTTACTTTTTCTACTTATTATTTTATGACTAAATGTGTTAGTGACGAAATAAGGTGAATGTACAAGAAAAAACAATGCGTGAGTGTGTGTGTGTGTGTGTGTGTGCAGTCTAAACCAAATGGAATCTAAGCCAGCATTAAAAAAAAAACAATACAAATATTGCGTTCCATTGACCGTCAGGGCGCTGATGCGTTTTCTTTCGTTTATTATTGAACACTTTTTTTTGATAGCACTTAAACACTCGGAGAGGGGGGACGAATCGGAACGGAACTAAAACAGGAAAGTGACGCGCGGCGGCTGGTTCAGTGGACTGTGGGTGGTGGGCGTTGAAGGACAAACAGTTCACTGAACTGAACTGGTTCTCGGATCCTTTGCACTGTTTGCATCAGTGTTCCGCCAGATGGCAGCACTGGGAGGGACGGTGGGCAACAGCTGATCGTGCATTCACACGCATGCATAGCACAGCACACACACACACACTCATGCAGAATTTTGACATTAGACATCCAGTTACTTAAAAGATAATGCGGTCTAGCAGGTTTTTGAGGGGGCCCCCCCGCAACAGAAAAGCTACTATAACCACCATGTGCCCGCCGTCGCATATGTATTTGCCTCCTGCTTGACGAGTCTCCCATCATATGGACAAAGTCAGTCAGTCAGTTGGTCACACACACACACACACACACACACACACAACACAACACACTGCATAATGCGTCCAACAACAAATGCCAGCGGCCAAAAAGCTCCCTTGACAACTGTCCGAAAGTGAATGGATGTGGTAGTGGGGTTCAAGCGGTAATCGTGCATTTGGATATATAATTTAAGAGTGCAATGCCTGCCACAAACAAAAAGAGAAACAACAGCAACAAAAGCAAACGAGAATGTGAAAGTTGCAGAGCGCGCGCGCTCGTATGTTTCTTTTGTGTTCGCATTATTGCTATTTCTGTTTCTGTTTCTCCTTCTTGTGCTGCTTGCTGCTGTTGCTTCTACTGCTTGCTGGCTCTGCAATCAATCTAATTACTGTAAAATTCAATACATTTAACTGCCAACGCAGCACTGAATCACAGCGGCGGTGGCACAGAGCGGCAGTTGCGTGAATTCTGATTTCGGATCTGTAAAAGCTGACGAAATCCGCAACCCTGATTGCGCCCTGGGATGGTGATGGTGCAACAGGGTCTGGGATTAGCTGCAGCCAGCCATACAGGGCACAAAGGGGGGGGATTCCAGCAATTTCAAGAACAATTGCATTATTTCTGTGTACACACACAATGGTGGTCATTGGTTACGGCCAGTGGCTGGTGGCTGGCAGCGGCTTCGGCAGTGGCAGAGCGGCATGCGTATGGTGGGGGAGGATGGGGGGATGCAGTGCGCATGTAGCAAACAGAACACTGACCTTCTCCTTGGACTCCTTGGCTCCCTTCAACTGACGCACGAGATCGCCTTGCAGTTTAATTTGCTCCAAAATCTGTTCACGCGAATCACTCATATTCCGGGACAAGTGCCAGCCAAAGACAACAGAAAAATCGGCAACACGGGGAGCACAGAAATGGCAGGGTACACTTTTTCGTGGCAGTGAAAAATGGCGAGGCGCGCGACGTAAAGAATACAATTTTTATTTTTGCCAAAAAACGTTGATGGACGCACGAGGTAAGCAGTGTGCCCGCGGAGTAATCGATTAAATATGCCGTCTGACCGTCAATAACATACTGAAATTTACATTTCCAATTTCTAAATATACCTCTGAGCAAAAAAAAATGTATTTTAATATTCCATTTAATATTGCAAGCTAAAATAGATCCTCATAGACCCCCCTTTCTCCATAAGATTGATTACTTTTCATAGCATCCTTATACTAGATTGATTACAAAATAAAGTTTAAACCAAAAGATCAACACAAAATAAACGTAAAACAAAAAGTAAGTGTGCATGTAAAGAACGTGGGAATCAAATTTAAAGAAATCGCTGCGAGGAAAACTCCCATGTTGTGAGAGAGAAACATCCTATAAACGAGAGGAAACTAACAAGGAAATAAGAGAAGTTGCCCGTCTGACCTTCAGAAATATACCGAAATATACCTACTCATTAAAAAAAATTACCGTAAATATACCGCGAAGAAAACGAACTTAACCCACATAGCCCCGCAGTATTTAAACAGCTTAAAAAGTTTAGTTAAACCGCGAAAAAAAATACTGTTGGTAAAGGTTCTCCCAAGCCTTTTTTGGCGGGTACATGGATATTTTGTGTAAAGTAAATGCTTAAAGATGGTTAAAGATAGATTGCAAAGCTATATTTTCCCAACCAAAAACATCTTTCAAAACAAACAGCAAAACAGCTGTTGGCATTAGCAACGCCTCAAAGTCTGAGTCAGGCTGCGCTAAGGCACGCAGACGCAGACCCACGCAGATAGAAACGCGTCAGCTGTGCTGTGTTGTTTTTAAAAATTACACTCTTACAAATCAAGGCACATTTTATGTACAGGTTGTAGTTTCATACTTGGACTCTCTCTCTCTTCTTTGATTCTGCCTGGACGCACTGCAACTGCAAATCTGCCTACACTGTGAAGGAGAGAGTAACGCTCTCACCTGTCCAAGATAGACCTTATCAAAGCTTATTCTCTGCGCGATCTCTCTCGCCGCCTCTCACGCTCTGGTGTGTGTGTCGTGTGCATTAGCTACAGTTTTACAGTTAGTTGTACGAACGTGTGTATAGATGAAACTGAAATCGATAATAGATGGAGCAGGCCCAATTTTCAGCGAAGCGGAGTCGAAGTGCGGCCTCGGTATCCACGAAGCTGCATCAGTCGATCGCGAAAACTGCCAAGTGACGGTTGGGGGCAACTGCGACATCAACATTATACCTCAATATACACACGCAAAGAACGGCATCAAGAACTAACGGCGATCGGCAACCCTTGGCTAAAAGACTTGAGCCCTGAGTCCCGAAAAACGTCTTCGGCGCAGCATTTTGTTATAATTTTTAAATATTCTTCTCATTCTTTGTTTCTTTTGTTGTTTTTTGATTTGTTTTCTTTATTTTTATTTGCTTGCGACCGTTTTTATTTTTGGAGACTCGGTGTTTTTTTTGTCGGTTTTTATTGTTGTTATTTTGCGGTCACGGCTTAAACCTGACTGCCAGCAGTCGACCGATCAATCGCTTCGTAAACGTTTACATTTTGTGTTAATATTTTGTGGCTGTGCCGAACACGCAGAATGAGGTAAGAAGTGGGAGAAGTGGAAGAAGAGATGAAGCGTGGGCGGGGGCTTGGGCGGGTGCGGGGGCCGGGTGGTGTTGAACCGCGTGCATCGAATCCAAGATGTGCAGTTAGCAGAGCATGCATATCGATATACAGATCACACACATACACACATTTGTATGTATGTAAATATCTCTTATCGGCGGTGATTGCTTGTGCGTAGCGTATCGATCTCTCTGCGGTGCCAGTTACACTCCACTTGTGTAAATAATTAGCAACAAAAAAGCAGTTGGAAAAATGAAAATAGAAACTAAGTCCGTGCCAAGTACAGCTGGCGGCGACAAACAGTCAAATATCAATACTTGAGATCCCATTTGTGTGTGTCTTTCTTTCTCAGAGAACACAGAAAACAGATGAACTAAACACAGAAACCCAACACTGACAGGAGAGACGACAAAACAGACGTCAGGTCGCTGTTATCGAGAACTTCTGCATTGCTCTGGCTATTTTGTTCGTTTCTTGTGGCATTTACTGCAGGTGTAAAACAATAACGTTAATTAGCGCATTTTATGGTTTAAGGCCCCAGAGTTTACGATGCCCCAATAGCTTAAACATGGTACAAGATATGGAAGGACAGGGCCCAGCGATAGCAGATATATGATAGCAGAAGAGAAACCATTCAGCAGGAAATCGCTCCAAAAGAGCGTATTTATATTCTGATAAAAAGTACCTAAAGCCATTGAATGGCTCTTCAAATTGTTGATTTTACAATATCTAAATGCGAATTTAGATAATGCTTTGACAGCCGCTGGATTCGGGGGGGGGGGGATTCGCAGCATCTGAAACTGGTTTTTCGCATTTGGCAAAAGTTCCCCTGACCTCTGGAAATACATAGCTGAATAAATTATAGAAATCCCAATGCACCGAGCGAAACAAAAGAGAGAACAAATTATTGAATATATAATTTGAATATTTTTCATATTTTATTTAATTGAAATACATTTCTTGCATCATTTATTTTCATATTTACTTTCAAATATACAGCAAAATCTCTCACATTGGAGTTTCTGGGAATTATAATTTGTATTATTTTTTTTACACATTTTTCTACTGTTTTCTGGCCATTACAATATTAATTCATGGACAATTCTAATTGGTAAACGTTTTAATTTATGACATTTTAGCGCATTTCAGTTTTAATTCCATTTTCATATTTAATTGAAATAAATTTTGTATTCCATTTAAATTTTAGATACGTTTTGAATATGGGCTTTAAGGCTAACAAAAACTTTAAATACAGTTATCAAAGTGAATTAAATGAATTACGCCACGTTTTTTTCGCTCAGTGCATGGGACGAGCGGGGCAGAGCGAGAGAGCGTATAATTATCTGCTGGGGTTTTCGCAACTGTTGAATGGGCAGCTCCCCCTCCCGTCAATTATTATATTCCTAAAGTTACACAAAGGGTACACAAATATGTACTTAGCATAACTACACTGTACATTACACACCGCGGCCCCCAGCTGTGACGTCACGTGCGCCTCTTTATCGGGCAGGCCAGGGAATTGCTAGACAAACGATTAATTTAATTTTGCTTTTAGCGAGTTCCTTGGCGAGCGTCTAACTCTGATTAACCAATGACGGCGCACTTGCTTCGTCATTCGGCGATTGATAAATACTTTGGAAATTTGTTTTTAATTTCTTGTTGCGGCTTTTGGCTGATTGCTTTGCCCTGCTCTAATGAGAATATGTTCGCGGGATGGAATTTTATCTGGCAAAAGGTTGTTTGTGGCTGCGAACAAACATGACAAACTGCCAGGCAGCATCCAGCCAGCCAGTACACCTTTAAGTTCAAGTCCACGCCCCAGGCCACACCCAAGTCCAAGTGCAAGTCCAAGTGCAAGTCCAAGTGCAAGTTCCATTAGGAAATCCCTGTCACGAGCCCCACTTGAGACTCAGCGGAGTTGCCGCCGCCGCACCGCTTATCGCAGGACTAATTACGACTAAACCCTGCGCAGATCTAAAGTTTTATGACCCTCCACCGACGGCGGTAGTTTCAATTGGAGGCCTCTTCGGTGGCCCAACAAAAAAAGAACCCAAAATGAATGATCCTAATCTGCGTGGCTTCGTATCGGGCACCGCAAAGCTCTTCTCTCTGAAGATATCTACGCTAATTATACAAAATTGCTTGTTAATAGCACTTGTTGAGTTCTCGTCGTGATCCCCTCGTTGGCATTTTTATGACCAGCAGAAGCAACGCAACGATCAAGAATGCTATCAGAAAAGCCGATAAGAATGCCCAACCAGCCGCCTGTCCCCACAGTGCGTGATGATGACCAGGCAGACGGGGAAAATGTTCCGTGTCACGGCCACTCGAGAACTGGACACTCATTTATCCACGTTACCAGTTGGGTGACGAAGGTGGCAAAGACGACTTTTATTTATGCCCTGGATTCCCTGGGTATCGCTGGTATCTGTGTGGTCAGAAAGTGATTCTGAAACTGCCATTCCTTTTGGTTCTCCTTAGAGTTCTCTGCAAGGCCACAGGAACTCCTTCCTTTTTTGCCACTGTTGGGCTTTAATCAATTTGCATCCTTGAGCTGTCTTCTCGTTGCCTTCCTGCAGCGTGCCATATTCTGCGTAGGGTATTGCCGCCTTCCGTTGGCTCTTTGGTCTGGCAATTTGGCTGCTGCTGACTCGACGCTTTTCAGACTGCCGACTGCCGACTGCCGACTGCGACCGAAATCAAAACATTAGTGAGCCAATTAGATCTGCAGACCGATAGCGTTCTCTTCGATTAAACACTCGACCAAATCACACTTGAGCCACTCGAAGCGTGTGAGGAACGTAGGCAGTGGGCAGGGGGCAGGGTACTGGAAATTGAACCCCAATTGATTCTCCTCTTGTGTGTTTGTGTGTTGCTTTCAGGTTGGTGTGCAACAAGAAGACTTTGCTATGGCTACTCCTGGCTGCTGTCCTGGTCACCGCACTGACGCTGGGCCTCGTCTTTGGGCTGAAGAGCAGCGGTGCGCCCCTCATTAGTGGCGCCGTCGTGTCCAATGGCATCGGCTGCGCCGCCATTGGTGGCAATATGCTGGAGGATGGTGGCTCTGCCGTGGATGCGGCCATTGCCACATTGCTCTGCGAGGGTCTGCTGCTGCCCCACTCGATGGGCATCGGGGGGGGCTTCGTGGCGACCATTTACACGAGGAGCACGCGACGCGTGGAGACGGTGATAGCGCGTGAGTCGGCACCGGCGGCCGCCCACAAGGAAATGTATTTGGGTCAGACGAGCGTCACGGGCGCCATGGCTGGCGCTGTGCCCGGCGAGATACTCGGCTACTGGGAGATGCATCGCAAGTACGGCCGCCTGCCCTGGAAGACGCTCTTCCAGCCATCGATCAAGCTGGCCCGCGAGGGCCATGTCGTGTCACGCTATCTGGCCTCGGCCATTCGATCGAAGCTCAGCGAAATCCAGAACGAACCATCGCTGGCTGCCATGTTCCTGAATGCAAACGGCGAGCCCTATGTGGAGGGTGACTACATGAAGCGCACCACGCTGGCCGACACTCTGGAGCGGATTGCCGAGAACGGTGCCAGCGAGATCTACGATGGGGGGGAGACGGGTCGCAAGTTTGTCGAGGATATACAGAAGCTGGGCGGCATCATCACGGAGCAGGACTTGAAGGACTATCGCGTGCAGTGGGACAGCGATGGGCACATTGTGGCCAATGTCACTGGCGGCTACACTCTGTACTCGACGCCACTGCCCAGCAGTGGACCCATTCTGGCCTTCATTCTCAACATCATGGGCGATCTGTACACGGAGGACAAGGCTGTCTACTGGCAGCGTGCCGTGGAGGCCTTCAAGCATGCCTACGGGCAGCGCACGCATCTGGGGGACTACCACAGCGATCCGGTGAGCGGTGGCAGCATTCAGGAGACGCTCGAGAAGATTCTCAGCGCCGAGCTGGTGGCCGAGGTGCGCAAGCTCATCCACGACGACAGCACCTCGCAGGACAATCTCTACTATGGCGCCAATTTCTCTGTGGAGGCGGACCATGGCACCGCACACATGAATGTGCTGGCCACCAACGGCGATGCCGTCTCCATTACCAGCACCATCAACAATTAGTGAGTGGCAGAACGAGTGGCACTGGGAGATGCTCAGCCGCAACTGACCAACTTCTGTGTTTCCCCTTGCAGCTTTGGCTCGAAGGTTGCCTCCGCACAGACGGGCATCATATTGAACGACGAAATGGATGACTTCTCCACACCGGGCGTGGTCAACAGCTTCGGTGTGCCCGCCTCGCCGGCCAATTATATTTATCCTGGCAAGCGGCCCATGTCCTCCATGTCGCCCGTCATCATTGTCGATGGCGATGGCAATGTACGGCTGCTGGTGGGCGCCGCTGGTGGCACCAAAATCACCACTAGCGTGGCAACGGTAGGCCCCAAACACACACACACAGAAATGCATTTAGTTTCTGATCCATTTCTGATTCGCCGCAGGTTATCATGAAATATCTCATACAGCACGAGAGCCTGGAACATGCTGTCAATGATGGCCGCATACACCACCAGCTGGTGCCCATGCGCGTTCACTATGAGGGCGGTGTGGAGAGCGAAATTTCAGACTATCTCGAAAAGGTGGGGCACACCATGTACCAGGAATCGGAGGGTTCCAGCTTTGCGGCCGTCACTGCCATTGGATCCCTGGAGGAGCCGGAGCCATTCTTTGATCGCCGCCGCGTTGGCAGTGCTTTAACCCTCAAGAATCGCAACAAGATGCAGCACTAAAAGTGCGCAAAACTGTGCTCGTGATTTCAGTTTTATTTATTTAACTTTAGTATTACTCGAGACGAGGGGAGAGCAGAAAATGCAGTAACTGTATATAATTAATTGTTGAAGGATATTTCGAATAGAGAAAAGTTTTTTTTTGTATGTAAATAACTGGCTTTGAACATCCAAATAAATGAATTCTGTTAATCAAATTGTGTTTTATTGCAATACAAATTTAAATTCGATTTTGAAATGCCACATGCTATCGGCGCCACTCGGCTATCGGTTAGACAATCGCTTAGTTCGCTTTGTGGCCGTACAGCAGCGCTGCAGAAAGCTCGTTCAATTAATTTACCCAACACTAACTTCGAGCACAATAACGTTTTATGCTTTGAACTTGTTTGTTTAAGGCTGTTTTTATGAACTATCCAATAAAAAGAAGTTTTTAATGACAGCCCATATTGTAGCATATTGTTTAATTTATTGTCTAAAATTATGTTTGTTGTGCTGAGGTTTCTAACAAACATGTAACACTAGGCCGAATATCAAAACCAATGAATATAACAGAAAATAGAGAACGCTTAACCCATAGTCGACCAGTAGGTATATTATGAAACTTGAACTATTTTCGCGTAGTTTAGGTGACAGACTTTGTGTCGAAGTGTATGAATGGATCTAGACAAACAATTAATAAACAGCAGTTTTTTTCGAAACCTTACACAAGTTGTTCGTTTGTTTTTTTTTTTTGTTGTACTTAATCGCTGCGGCGAAATTGGATGGTCGAACGACGATGAGTCCGCATGGGGAATGTGGGAATGTTTTCATAATCCATTATCATTTGTAGAGTTTGAAGACTAACGCTGATATGGAGATCCCTACCCCTCTTTGGGATGGGAATGACTTTGATCAGGGACTCGACATTCTGTAAATAACCAGTAAATAACCATTGCTGGGTTCCTCCTGAGGGCTCTTATCATCATGTCATATGTAATTCTATCTATTCCTCCCGCAGTGTTTCCCCTATTGAGAACAGCAGACAGGTGAATGCAGCTGGCTGACAGAGAAGGTATGAACTTTCGACAACACAGAGACTTGGCTTTTAAAAGGCTCAAGGTAAGGCAAGACATTGTCACCAAAGCAAGTGTTTCTGGCGTTCAAATCCCCAGCAAAAATCACGTTCCACCTTTTTAAATAGAGGTGCGTTTAGTGGGTTAAGTGTATGTTTTCTGTGGTATTTTTCAAAGTTCAGCTAGTATATTTCGGTATTTAACTGTGTGTCAGACTGTATTCACATCACCTGCAAATTTAATCAATTAAAATATGCCATAAATAACAATAATCATGGACAACTTTCATGAATTGACACGCGAAGATATATTGGAGCAGTTCAAAAAGGTGGGTATTCCCATTTGCATGCAGGACATGCACTGCATTTATGACATGCCAAAAATGTGCTTCCATGTGACAATGTTTTTGTTTTTGCTGCAATTGCAGAGGGAATTGCATTTAACAAATGCCAAAGTCTTATCGCTGGAGGAACTACTGGTGATATACAAAGGATTCATTGTGCCGCTGCCACGCCGCGAGCCACGGGAGCGCCGCCAACAGAAGCCCATGGAAATCGATCAGCTGACGGAGCGCATCAAAGTGGTGTCCATGGTCGGCGGCAAGCGACCGATAACGGAGGAGCCCTGCTGTTCCCATCAAGCGAATCGTGAGGCCAAACAAATCAAGATGGACCTCCAGTGACCTCCGGCCGACGCGACGATAAGAAGCGAACCAAAATAGACACTTCTCAATTGTGCGCCAGCCGAGATGCATCGCTTGCTGTTGGTGCTCGGCCTGCTGATGGCTGCTGCTGTGGCTGCGGCCGAAGTTCTACCGCTGGAACCGGACTTGGAGGGCTACCAGGTGGTGCTGCGGCGTGCCGCCAACCGCTCCGATAAGCTGCAAGTCTTCCAAAGCATTTGGGGGGCCATACGGTCCGATTTTATCGACGACACCGACAAGGTGAAGGGTTTGTACACCCAGCTGTCCAATTTCATACGCAACGAGATGCAGTGCACCAGCGGACCGACGGGCCACTCAGCCTGTGAGCTGCAGCAAGAGGTGCGACGACATCTGCGCTCCCTGATGGCCCAACGCCTGGCCAACCTCATCAATGCCGAGGAGAGCATTCAGTCGTATGGCATGTATGTGGGCTCCAGCATTGAGCCGTCCCTCGTGCGTGACGTGCTGGGGCATGCCATCGAAGATGTCTACTTCCATCGGCCACTGGAGAAGCTCACGCAGCAGCTGGACCAGCTCTACACGGACCGGGACGAGGTCAGCTTCAAGATGATGATCGAGGCGCAGCTGTCACTCTACTGGCGCTATCAGGCCATGCACGACAGCAACGAGGCCTTTCTGTTCAACATGGCGCATGCCGTGAGCAAGATTCAGACCCATCACATGTACGCCAGCGTGGACACATCGCTGCAACGTCGCGTCGAGGCACTGCACAGCAGTCTGCCGCCAGTGCTGGGCTCACTCTTCCATCCGCAAGGCTTCTGCCTGCTCAGTCGCGACAATCGCGAGTACTTGTACACGACGATTACGGACGACTGGAACTACGGCCTCAATGGACGGAAGGTCTTCACGTGGCACAAACAAAACTACACAGACTCGGCGGGCCTCATTCGTGCCTTTGTCCAGGAGCAGCTCTCCACGCCCGTGTTCACGCTGCGCAGCGAGCTCTTCAAGTGGTATTTATTTGTGGATCCCAGCGAGGGAAATCGCTTGGGTGCCCTGCGCTCCGGCAGTCCCAGCTCATCGACCAGCTTCTGGACCATTACCTACGTGCAGGATGCGCTCATCTTTCGCCAGCGCGATCTCACGCTCTGTGCAGCCGAAAGGTTTGATCAGGAGCGACGATTGATCAAGATGCTGCCGGGACAAATGCACACGCCGCCATCCGAGGCATGCCAGTGGCTGCCCGTCGTCTGTAGCCCTCAATATGAAAGAGATGCCACATAACTTAGAATTTGTTGCATTCTCGATGTATTGCTAAAATGTTTTCAGTTTGTACACTCGATGGTAATTTACAGAAGTTTTTCGATAGATGGTGTCAGCTTGAGTTGAATTAAAGTTAAACTTAAACTAAAGCAAAGTCTTCTGGGTCAAATAATTGTTGCGGTTAAGTACGTTATTTAAGGGACTTTCTGAATGTGAATGAATATTTTCTAAGACTGTTTTTTCCTTATTTGGCATTTTGCTTAAACTAAAATGAACAGCGAACGGAGGTAAACAAATTTCCTCTTATCCGCATTCTAATGAGTCTTTCTTTTTCTCCTAATCCTGCTCTATGTATTCGTCGTCATTGCTATCTGAATCGTAGTCCTGCGGCATGTTTGCACCGCGTGTCGTTTCGCGTTGTGGCTGTGACTGTGGCATAGTCGCTCGACGACGCTGCCGGCTCACGTTGAACCTGTGATCGGACGAGGGCCGATAGTGCATGATGCAATGCAGATAGTCCTCGGCATCGATCAAGTCGGCCGCCTCCATGGACTCTTCTATGGTGCGTGAATAGTCCTCGATTTCCTCGTCAAACAAATGTGGATCCCCACTGGCGAAAGAGGCGAAGCGCCACGGATTGCGCATTGCGCCCATTATGTTCCACTGCTTGCAGTTGGGGCTGTTCACGAACTTGCGCAGCTCCTCCAGTGATTTTTGCGTCTCGTTGACCGTCTGCTGGAAGTACTCCTCCTTTGTCAGCAGCCGCGGCTTGGGCGGAAAGCGACGGCGGTAGTACGAGCGCACGTCGGGCAAGAGCGATGCGGGTAAATAGTAAGCCGCAAATATGCAGACCATCAGCGAGAGCACGCCACGGCTGTGCCAGCTGCTGAAGTAGGCCAGTGCCCCGCCAACCGCCTGCAGCAGCCACATGATGATGTTCTGGGAGCGTGCATTCGTCGGCGGGCCAATGCGGTAGCAGATGAGGAATGAGATGAGGCTGGTTATTATCAGATACCACACCACATAGCCGCGATAAGTCACTATGATTAGCCGCATATTGTCGGCCAGTTGCTTGATTATGTACATCCCAATGGTCCAGCCTCCAATCAGGACGCCATACATCATGGGACGCCGGGGTAAAAGCTTAGACGTTAGCGAGATGATCAGCAGCAGCGAGCCACAAATGCCAAGCATAATGCCGGCCAAGTAATAGAATATGCTGTTCTTGGCCAAGCTGCGGCTGCTCCAGAATACGAGCGTCCCCAGGCCAAACTGCAGCAACCGCCAGACATTGCACTTCGCATGATGCAGTCGCACATTGTAGGGCTGGCGCGAGGATACGCCAATGCATTGCGGCTCAAATGGCGACAGATGTATGCGCTGACGCTTCTGTGAGAAGAGCGTGAAGCTGAACAGGGAGCGCTGCTCGTTGTAGTGATCCAGAACCTCCTTTGGTGTGCGTCCACCGTATTGGGAGTAGTCATCGTTGCCGATGCCCAGCAGGAACTCAAATGTCTCGAAGATACTGAGCAGCGAGGACGGCTTACCTGGATAGCAGTACGTCCTCAGCGTATTCGATCCATAGCCATTTTCTGGGATATCGACGGATGCACCCGGCGCCAAAATCACAGGGTCCATAATTGGTGGCGGGCTTGCGGCAGTGCGTAGCGCCAATAGTGTGAATATAAGGATATATCCATTCGGCTGAAACATGCCTACTCTTTTGAGAATTTCTTCTATTCTGTTAATTGACACAAAAATTAATACAAATATCTTTGAACTGCGGCAACTGGAGTTGTTGGTGTTGTGTATCGATATACCACCACTAACCAAATAATAGATTGTTAATTTCATGGAAGCGAAACGTCACCGCTGAATGTGCGTCGCGAAGTCCCAGGCCTCTGCCAACGTCGCTGCTACAAGTATTAGTCCGTGTAGAACACGCAGCTAGAAGTCCCAGCTACATTTGTATAAGTGCGTGTACAGCACGCAGCCAGACGTCCCAGCTACATTTGTATAAGTGCTTGTAGCCAATGATTTTTTACCGCTCCAAACCGGTTCTGTCTTGATTCACACGGACACTGCAAGTAATGTATGTGTTGGTGCGCTGACTTTCTGAAGTGCGATGGAACGAAAATTCGTTTTGATGATTTGATTTTGTTTTCGGGGCTTGGCGTATGAACCTAACCTATCGTAACATGTGCAGAAGAGGGGTGGGGGTTGGTGGCCGGACCTTTGGGGGTTGGAAAAAATAAATATACCAATAAAAGTTGTTATTGTAATTGTATCCTGTAATTGTTTTATATGCAGATTTTATACTGATTTATTCAAAATTGTATGCATATATTATGGAAACGCCTAGCTGCGTGTTCTGCACGCACTAATACTTGTAGCTGCGACGTTGGCAGAGGCCTGGGACTTCGAGACGCACATTCAGCGGTGACGTTTCGCTTCCATCAAACTATTTGGTTAGTGGATATACCAAGCGCGTTGGTATCCGATAGAAGTGGCTATCGATGCTAATCATCTTGCCACATATCGGCTATACGTGGATGTTGTGCGGAAAGCATGCAGTGAGAGCGAGATAAATATATGAATACAGCCATAGCTACATTTTTATGTAATTCGCAACAGAGACACCTGACTAGGGAATCTATACGTTTTAGAGCAATCGCTAGTGGAAGCGGCAATGGAAAAACCTCCATTATTGACCTCCTCCCAATATTTTCGGTGTTTTTAGAAAAGAATATAGATTTCGGTATATTTGTGAGGGTCATGCGGTATATTTCATCGATAACTCCGCGGTCACACTGAGCACTGGGCAAAAACAGCGGTTTGACGATTTTCCGCAACAAATTCCATTTTTTCCACTCCAAAAAGAAAAAAGGTGAAGATTGCGTATACCCTCAAGGTGTTTTCCGAGCCACAACTGATGGCGGTGTTGTGACTTGTGCAAGGATATTGTTTTGTGGCTGGCAAGGAGAAAATCAATTCAACGCCGCCTAACCTACAAAGTTACATAATTTTAGCATAATTGTTGTTATGATTAGAAGTTGCTGCTGCAAGGACATCAAGGCGACACACAAAATGTATAATTTACCCATTCTTCTTGCAGCGAAATATGTCGTTCGTTAAGAATGCCCGTTTCTTGGCCGCACGCGGCGCTCGCCTTGCCCAGTCCCGTGCCTACTCGGACGAGATGAAGCTGACCTTTGCCGCTGCCAACAAGACCTTCTACGATGCCACCGTCGTGCGCCAAATCGATGTGCCCTCCTTCAGCGGCGCATTCGGCATTCTGGCCAAGCATGTGCCCACATTGGGTAAGTCCACACGTCCAGGCCCATGGCCCCCAAGCTGATTATATCACATTCGAAAGAAATTCGTCTAATTTGATGTTCTTCTCCTGTGCCCATCTAGCTGTGCTGAAGCCCGGTGTTGTCCAGGTTGTGGAGAACGATGGCAAGACAACCAAATACTTTGTCTCCAGCGGTTCGGTGACAGTCAACGAGGACTCATCCGTTCAGGTGCTCGCCGAGGAAGCCCACAACGTTGCGGACATTGACGTCTCCGAGGCCAGACAGCTGCTGTCCAAATACCAGTCCCAGCTGAGCTCCGCTGGTGACGATAAGGTATGTCCTCTTGGTCTTACCCAACCAGAACTCTCTGCTCACTCTTCCGATCGATTTTTTGTTGCAGGCCAAGGCAGAGGCTGCCATTGCCGTTGAAGTTGCTGAGGCGTTAGTCAAAGCTGCCGAATAGACGTAATCACAACCACAAACAGCATCCAAACATTTGCTAAAGCATTGCGTTTAAATTAAATAAAAAACAAACACAAACATAACTGACTTGGTGGCCAATTTGAAAAACTGGCTGAAACTGGCGTTATGAAACAATAAAAAGCGAATAATAATATCCAAACTAATGACAATCGGTGTGTGGATCAACCAATCAAGTAACATTAATCCGCATCAACGCAGCGCGGAGACGAAGTTTTTTGTTTGTTTTTTTTTGTGCCAATGAGGGAGAAATGCCTTACACTGTGCAACATGAAGTGTGGCTGAGCTGAGGGCTTCGCTGGCCTCTAGCTGCTAAAAAATGTTTGGCAAAATTTTTACTAAACGATTGTTCGAGCTGTTGCTCAACACCTTTGGTTAAACAACAAAAAGGCTAGGGATGTTTCTCCTTATAAATGTATTTATATTATCATAGAAGGCAGTATCATGGTTATCCGCCCATTTGTCTATTGCTGTAGCACAGATCTTAAGTGATCTTTAATCACATTTGCCTGCAAGACACCTACAATTGGCATAAAACCCTTTGACATACGTTAACGTGCATCTTATTCACCCAATGGAACACTTATTTTGCTGCACAGTGTAGTATGAAAGTCGACAGCTGTGACTGGTGTGACCAACCCAAACGGAAGGTCAAGTTTACAGCGCCTGAAAGTTTGAAGATCTTTTCTCTTTTTTTTCGGTTTAAATTTGTTTGTATTTTCTAGCAAAAAAAAAGTGTGTAAAAAAATGGACTTAAATTAACTCATGGCGTTGTGTAGGAAGTGTGTCGATAGAGGTAGAGTAGTAGGTCGAAGTTCGAAGGTCTTCCCGTGTTTCGTATGTGTGTGTGTGTGTGTGTGTGTGTGTGTGTGTGCGGGGATGCTGCTGGAAGAGCGTCGCTTAGTAGGCTGGTGGGCCGTAGGTCTGGGCGGGCGCATGTCCCACTGGCAGCAGTTGCTCCTCGGGCGCAAAGACCTGGGCGGGTGCTTGCTGGGGCACACTCAGGAGTGGCGCTGGTGCCTGCAGGGGAGCAGAGTAAACTGGAGCTGGTGCGGGGGCATAATTGACTTGCGGTGCGGGGGCATAGCTCACTTGAGCCTGAGCCTGAGCGTGGGCCTGGGCAGAAGCATAGTTCACCTGCGGTGCGGGGGCATAGTTCACTTGAGGAGCCGGCGCATAGTTCACCTGCGGTGCGGGAGCAGCATAAACTGGAGCTGGAGCGGGAGCAGCATAGACTGGAGCTGGTGCGGGAGCAGCATAGACTGGAGCTGGAGCGGGAGCACCATAGACTGGAGCTGGAGCAGGAGCAGCATAGACTGGAGCCTCCTGGACAGGGGCCAGATAGGAGTTCACTGGAGCTGGTCCGGGAACATCGATGGGAGCGTAAGCTGAGTTAGCGCCGCCATAGCCGCCCGAATGCTCATGGATAACGCGCACCACCTTGGCTTGTCCGCCCGAATGGGAGCCAGAAAGTCCGCCGTAGGAGACACCAGCGTCGTGGCTCTCGTGCACCACCTTGATGACCTGGGAGACACCCGATGAGCCGCCGCTGATGCCACCGCCAATGAATGCGGGACCGCTGACCAGAGGAGCAGACTCCGACAGTACCTTAATCACCTTGACGGAGGCTGGGCCTGCTGGGACACCATAGACGGGAGCTGGACCATGGCCGCCATGACCGCCATGGCTGCCGCCCTCGGAGATGACCTTCACTTTGTAGACCTGTGGGGTGGGCTCGTAGCCATAGCCGCCGGCATAGCCACCACCGCCGCCGCCGCCTCCAGAGTAGCCACCGCCAGAGTAGCCGCCCTGCTGATGGATGACCTTGACCACCTGAACTGGACCATGACCGCCATGTCCGCCATGTGAGCCACCGCCGTAGCCACCGCCGTAGCCGCCACCGCCGTAGCCGCCACCGCCGCCAGAGTAGCCACCGCCGCCAGAGTAGCCACCGCCGCTGCCGCCGCCCAAGCTAAGGCCGGACTTGAGACCGCCGCCTCCTCCGCTGCCACCGCCGCCGCCACCCCCACCGAGCAGACCGAGGAAGCCAGCATTGGCCACAGCAAAGAGAGCACACATACAAACGAAGACCTGGACACAAAGGAGGAGAAGGGGAAGTTATAGTGTGGCTATCCAGGATGAGGGTGTGTGTGTGGGCGACTCACCTTCATGTTGACTACTATTCCACTTGATGCGATGACAACGTTACCAAAATCGAATGGGTTCCTAAACGCCTTGAGTGGGTTATGCTCTTCAGAGACGACTGATGTCTGATTGAACGCATCAGGTTGCTTTTATACGATGATCTGCAGCGATCACAAAACGATGTAAGAGCGATCATAATGAAGTCCCACAATTCAAATTAGCAACGCAACAAAACAGCATAACACGATCCGACGCATCCCAGACACAGGCCCATGCCCATGCCCATGCCCATGCCCGAGATCCAAACAAAGGCATTTCATTAACATTTTCAGCGGTTCATCATCATCGAGATTGAAATCATCATCGTCATCACATATAATCATAATCATGCTTGGATGATGCAAAACTCAAGTAGCAACACGCAGAAGGAAGTCTTCGATGGCTTGCTTTCATTTTCACTTGGCCGCACCCAATTTCGGGTTCTTCATCCAACAACTGCCATTTCCATTAGACCCCACACCCCACACCCCATCTCATTCCATTCCGAAACCAATTCCGATTTCTTTCCAGTTTGCAGACTAGCATTTCGTAAAGCCCTTACGTTACGTTAGGCGGCATCTGCATTTCCGAAATTCCGAAAGCCAACACAAGCCAACGCTCCCACAATTAGCATGAAAATGGTTTGAGGTCGAACTGGAGTCCGAGCTCTGGGCTCTTGGGCTCACTGAACTGCTTGCCATAAGGCTGATAAGGCACGGGGGCTGCAGGCGAGGCGGCATCGACATCATGTGGCTTTCATATTTCGTTTTGTCATTTGCATAGATCAGCGCTTGGCTTGGCTCTTCTCTTGGTTGCCTCACACGGCGGCCTGCTGTCTGTCCGTTTTGGAGCCATTAACTAAACCGAACCCAAGCCCAACCCCAAAGCAATAGGCCATGGGCCACAGCCCACAGCAGTCCAATCCCCCCCATCCACAATCATTGGCTATTTCAAGGTGAATTTGGAATCTGATTTTGTTCCGAAATTCGTTGTCAACTAGCGCCCAATATTATGATTATGCAAGTGGCTTCTCACGCGTGTAAAAACGCATCATTGTCTATCCAACGAACATAAAACGACAGCGACAACCACAACAAAACAAAAAACAAAAGAAAACACACAGACACACGCACAACAAGTTCATCGAAAATCAGCCTATAATGCGCGTCGTGTGTGTGTGTGTAAGATATTGCTTAATGGGCCTCCCAGACAGATACAAAATATTGATTACCTCGATCAAATCACATTCCACAGCAATGCAGTGCAAAATGCTAAGTCTCCAGCATCCAGATTGCCATAAATTGATGAAGCAAAGTCACAAGAATGCTGCAGAGCGGGCGCCTATGTTATGAATGCAGATGTTATGGATAAACACAGATTTTATAATGATAGAATGAGGCTTAAATGTTAAGTGTGTGTTTGATAGACTTCAGAGATGCTATTTTTAGCTAATGCATTAGCTAAAATGAATGTTTCTTTAAATGATGAATTTTGTGACTAGAATAAAGAAGAGAAGAGATGAAATGTGCGAAGCAGCAGAAACGGTAAAACTTGTGGAAACGGTAAAACGGTATGAGAGCAGAAGAACATTCTCTCAATCTCTCTCTCTCTCTCTCATCATGCTCAACATTAATTCCTTGTTTGGAGATATTACAATTTATTAATAGACAAAAAAAAATTATACAAGTCGTTTAATGTTAGCGGTCAGCAGCAGATTATAAGGCACAGAGCACTGCAATTATTTCTGTTTCAGCCAGCCACCGTAGGCCAGCGGAGCATCGTAGACTGCGCCATGTCCGACACGGACGACGGAGGGAACCACGGCCACGTTCTCGTAGACGGGCACATGACGAACGACGGGCACTGTACGCACCACTGGCACATGGCGGACAACGGGTACGGTGCGCACTACGGGAACGGTGCGAACCAGTGGCAAGGTAGCCACAGGGCCGTAGGCAGCACCATGGATGACACTGCTTTGGGCAAGAGCCAGGCAGGCGGCGAACAGGAGGCAAGCAATGAAGAACTGAAAAGGAGAGAGAAAGGCGTATTATCCAGTTGCGTGTGGGTGTGTGTTTGTGTGTGGAGGAGGGTGCCCCATTATCCTGTGGGGCTTATGCACTCACCTTCATGTCGAGTTGTTTGCTTGATTGGTTGGTTGGTGGATGATTTGTGTTGATTTGTTTGGCCGAGACAGAGATCTTATATAGTGGCCAGAACCCGCTTGAAAGTAGATCAATAAAACGGGCAAAGAACACAGCCAGAGGCAACTACAACACATAACAATATGAATCAATTGGTATCGGAGTTTCGTAAGGCGTCGATATGCAAATTCAAAAACTCAGACACACATCAGTGGAGATACTTGAGAAGTGTTTGCCATTATTATTGATATTACTACCCCGCAATAATAATGGAATTATTCGCGTTGACGAACAATGCGAGGCAGCATCATAACTTATTTATTTACGAATGAAATAAAACGCCTTTCAAATGCCAGAACAATGAGAACTTGTTCCTCTTCTTGTGGAATGTTCAACAGGTGCCAGTGCCAGTGGCCAGGCGACACCTATTGGCGGGATATCCGCAATGCTTCCACGCCCATTGCCGATTTGTCGCCATTTGATGAATTCTTTTCAAAGAGGCAGGCGTGCAAATTGATCGTCTTGTCCATCTGTGCCCAAATTGTTTTGGGAGTCTTTTTTTGGCTAAACTTTATTTATGATCCCATTGTTCACCCCCTATTATGCTTTTCGGTTCAGCCAGCAAAACTGCCAAAACGCATGCAAATTTATGCAAATGCAAACGACGCTTCTTCAATTCAATTCATTTGGGTTTGGCTTTTCCAAAAAAACCCAACTCAAAATATAAATATCTATGCATGTTAGGTTGATATTTAAAACATGTTTTGTTTGTAAGTTGTCTTCGCTTTGTGTTAGTTATTTTTAAAGATGTTTTCTCCCACGCGCCTTGCTGACACCTTGCAGCACTGAGAGCTTCAGGTGCGTGCCGTTACACAGCACTGACACCAAGCCCACACACAGCTGTTCGGCTCTGCATCACTACCGGTTTACAAGCAACAAGTTATCAAACTATGCTTTTTTTTGCTTGACCTTTTTACTTTGATACTTATTTTGTAAGCAATTCAACGAAAGGAAGCCATGAAAACTAGAAAATCTTATGAAAAATGAGTTCATTAAACGGATACAGTCGTAGTTTTAACGCTGAGAATCCTAACTAGCTGGTAATATGAAGCGGAATATCAAAATCGAGTAAAATGATTTAAGATTTACGGGATATGTATAGTATATTTTGAAAATGAAAGTGTATATTTCGGTTTATTTCCGAGGGTCGGTCGGTATATATGATCGATAATTCCGCGGTCACACTGATTGCAATATTAATGCCAAATTTCGTATCAAAATGCAGCAAAAAAAGTGAAAAAGTAAACAAAAATCATATCAATTGGGTTGCTTTGAGACCGCACGATGTCTGGGCGGGGTTTCGGCAGCAGGAACAGGCACAGCAACATTTGTAACACCGCCAACATGGCGCACCTGCTCCAATGCTCTTGATGTTGACGTCAACAAAGTGAAACTCGAGTGTACGGAAAAGAGAAACAAACACACACAAAAAAAGAAGAACAGCTGCGACAAAAGAGAATCGCTAATTGGAGCGCCGAAATAACACCACTGGAGCATACACACAGAACGGGAACGGGAGGGAAATGTACTCTGAATGGGCCTCACTGTCGGCCCAGATTACGGCCAACAGCTGCGGTGCGCAATGCTTCAGTGTGCTGAACAAATTCCCAGCCTCGGCTGGACGGGAAGTGGTCGTGTCGGTGGTGAAGCAGCTGGGCACCAATCTGGGCATCACACAGAATGCCGAGCCCAGCCATTTGGTCAAGGATGAGGAGGTGAGTATCAATGGGCCATCAATCTGTTGGTGAATCTGACAACTGCGACTCGTCTGTACAGGTGAAATGGTGCATGGATGTCATCTGCTTTGGCCTATCGCTGCCCCTGCAGGAGCACGAGACCATCAAGGACTGCGTCAATGTCTACTGCGAGTGGCTGACGGCGTTGCATCCGCAGCCGCGCATCAGTGTGCCGAAGCCCATATGCGAGGATGCCAATCTGTATGCACGCCAGATAATCAATCACTTTCACAATCTGTTTGTGCCGCGCCAGGGCGAAAGTAAGTACATCAAGTCGCCAATGCAGACATCCATCGATCCGCTGTCTATTGCCGCCACTGCCCCATAAATGCCCACTCGCTCTGTCTTATGTATTAACCCCCATCTAAATTTCAAGTCTTGCCATTTCTATACCAAACCACGCTTGGTAGGTTGCTCGAACTTATTTACATATCGATGCCAGTTGCTCGCGGGATACAGTCGTGACTAATGAGTTCCTTTTTGCTGGCCATTTCAGGTGCCGACACCATTAAGCGGCAGGCGGTGCTGTGTCATCGGGTGCTGCGCACACTGCAGCAGACGGCGCAGATATCGCAGCTGATGGATCGTCAGACGTGGGACACGCTGCTGCTCTTCCTGCTGGCCATTAACGAGATTCTACTGGCGCCGCCCACCGTCAAGGATGATGTCGGGGATCAGCTGTGCGAGCGTGTGCTCTCCGTGCTCTTTGAAGTGTGGCTGCTGGCCTGCGTGCGCAGCTTCCCCTCGCCCTCTATGTGGAAAACGCTGCAGGAGTCGTGCTCCATGTGGCGGCATCGCGTGGCCCTGGTCGATCAATGGAATCGTGTCAACTTGGCCCTCACCTCCCGCCTGCTCGAGTTCAGCTATGGCCCAGCGTTTCCCCAGCTGAAAAATGGTTTGTGGCGCCCACAAGTTTGTGTCTCTGGCAACTGTCACTCATGCAGCTCTCTGCCATCCACAGCCGACGAGGATGGCCAGCTAATACCTGTGGGCATGTCGAACGATTGTGTGGCCCAGACTTGGTATCGCTTCTTGCGCATGATCGGAAATCCCACGGCGCTCTGCTCACCGCACATCATCAGCAAATCGTCGCACTTTGTGCAGTGGGCCCTCACCCACGAGAAGGGCGCTGAGACGCACCAGCATCCGTGTCTGCAGCAGCTGCCGCAGATCTTTCTCAACGCCATGAAGGGCATCTCCAGCCAGGTGGATGCGTTTCTGGGTAAGAGCCGAACCCTCACCCCAATCTCTCTCTCTCTCATCCAGCGACCATAGGCTTCAAGTAGCAAATAGTTTTTGTGGTAGGCTGCTAGCCCAGTATTACTCAATCTTTCTCTCTCTCTCTTTCTCTTGTTCGTTTGTTCATCGCTCTCGCTTATCTAACCCAAAAAAAACTTGTATTTAAAACCGAAAAATCGGTGATTTGAGTAGGCGTTTATCAGCCACCGCCACAGCAGTCGGAGAATGTCGTGACGAATCTAATGGAAATACGTCACTCGCTGAACGAGGCCACCTCCTCCACGCTGCAGCAGTTTATACAGTCGAGCAGCGCTTCGAATATATCAGCGAACAGCCTGCAGCAGCAGCAGCTGCAGAGCTCCGGCTCCGTCGCGCAGCAACTGCAGCTCCAGCTGCAGCATCAGCATCTGCATCACCATCACCATCTTCACTATCCGCATTTGCATTTACATGGCGCTGGCAGCTTCCTGCGCGACAATTTCATGAGCAACTCGGCCAGCACTGCCCTGAACGCCATCATGGGTCACCACGGTCATCATCAGCATCAGAATCAGCTCCACCAGCAGCAGCAACAGCAGCTATCACTCTCCCAGAGTGGAGCCTCGCCGACGTCCAGCGCCAGCACCTCTGCCGTGGGCAGCACGAGCGCTGGTGGCAGCCACTCGGCCGGAGTCGTTGGCAGCATATCCTTTAGCACGGCTGAGGCCAGTCTGGGGTCAACAGCTGCCACGAGCACGCCCACACCGCCTCTACAGCGACGATTGGCCAAGAGTTTTAGCGTGGCGCCCACCATAACACAGCAAAAGGGTGCGAGAACTCGTCTTTAGATCCACTAGAATGTTTTACTCAATGTTGTCATTTGTTTTTGTATTTTAACCTGGCAGAAAGTATTGCGAAGGAGCTCTTTCTGTATTGATTAAGCTTTGCCTCAGGCAAAAGGCTCAATCGAACCTTTTTTCACGTCCGAATCAAAGGAATGGAATTATTCCACCCATCCGAAAGTGCTGATTGTGCAAGAAGTGTCCGAATTGTTATAGACTAAACTCTTCAGTGATTGCTTTAATACTGCTCTGCCAGGGTGTTTGGGCCTTCGGAATACCGAAGTAAATTTCATTTGTCGTGCTTTTTGCAGTAACTGTGATTTACTTAGCTTGCCTCGAATGTTGACTTAATGCTCCATTAGTTTTATTCGCCATTAGCTCCCAGATCGGTGTTTATGTTTTAGCTTTAGCTTCACGATGACTGGACACGAGAGCAACCTGGCTCAAGGCACAACCGCACCATGAACGGCGCACCCCTCACCGCGCACCGCATGCACGTTTTGCATTTTAGTTTTTTCTTTCGTTTTTGTATAATTTGTTCCGTAGCATGAGTGGAATAATCTGTGTGTAATTGCTCGGAGCGCGAGTGGGGATGTGGAGTGGAAGAGTAACTGTTTTCCACTTTCCAACTGCCCTCACATCAAAGCAGCAGATTCCCATTCCCATTCCCATTCCGATTCCCATTCCATTTCGAATTCCCATTCCGGGAGCCAAGCCAGGTCCCATTATGCATTGTATTTTATCTATTGTACGCCCACAATTAATGCCAGCCACATTGCATGTGTGATGGCATCGGGCAGGCTCCGCTCTGCCTCTGCCTCGCTACTAATTTCTCACACTTGCTCTGCTCTACTCTACTCCACTGCTCTCTCTCTCTCTCTCTCTCCACAACACAACACGCACATTCCAACACCCAAACACACACACACACGAATGCTTTGTGCAGGCTTGAGCAAAACCTCGCTTATCGGCCTCACGGGAGGCGGTGCACGCAATGCGATCGGCAGCAGCAGCAACAGCAGCAACAGCAACAACAACAGCTACACCCACAGCAGCAGCTCGACGAGCGCTGGCCCAGTCCAAGGCTCGGGTGGTGGTGGTGGTGGTGCCGCCGTTGCCTCTGGCATTGGCACTGGCATTGGCCCTGGCTCCGGTTCTGGTTCTGGTTCTGGCACTGGTGGCCAGGCACCAACTCCGGTCTCGGCCGCTGCGGCACCCACAACGCCAACATCGACATCGGGTCCGCCCTCGGCGAGCAGCAGCATCAAC